TTATTCAGTCATTCAATTGTAGTTCGCTTAAATAAGTTCACTATAATCCTCCAGCCGTGATAACAATCTTTTTCTAGATTGAAAGATGACATTTACTTTGTTTTGAACTGTTATGTGTAAAGTATTACTTAAAAGGCAGCTAGATTGATTAATCTTATGTATTGTCTGTGTTAATAAGATTGTTAATGTTATAATGTTATAATGTTTTTTCTGTAAAATGTAAATCCATATTTATTTGTATTTGTTTTTTTGCTTAATTTTTTATTTAATTTAACTTAATACTTTTTTGTTTCTTAATTTTAACTTAATTTTACTTAATACTTTTTTGCCCTGTAAGCTGCTGGTAACCTTAATTTCCGGAGGGAGTCTTCCCAAGGAATCAATAAAGTTCTGTCTAAGTCTAAGTCTAAGAGGTACTCTAATTAATGATCATAATACACTACAAAAGTGAAGAAAAGGTAACATCTATTCCACATTTGCAATGTATTGCAAATGTCAGGAAAAAAAATTTTAAAAAATCAATTAAATTCTCCAAAATTACAGTTGAGATCCAGATATACAGTAGCTTATTTAGAGACAAAATATATATTTTTTAATCATTAATGTACAGAACGGCTTAATATTTGTTCGTAAATACTTGTTCCTTTAGCAAATACAGTCTGTAGACTCAAGTTAATGATTATTCAATTACTAATAGTTGAGAATTATTTTAACAATAAAATAATCATCATTAAACTGATCAGTTGGTTCAGAATGAAGTTCTTCTGAGATGTTCTAACCTACTTCATGAAGAGGGACGGGTTCTATTTAAGTGGTTAGGGAAAATTGTTTATCACAGTTGTTTGATACTTAAAATATAGGGATGTTTTTCACATCAGACTGATGTAGTATAAGTTGCTTTTTTCCCAATAGTTAAAGTGCTGCATTGTAGTGCAGGAGTGGCAGCCTAGTGGCAGCCTTGGAATCCTGAGGTTCTGGGTTTGAACCCCACTCCCACAGACTGTCACTCTGGCTCTCTGAGCAAAACCCTTAACCCTACTCTGCTCCCTTGGCGCAGCACAATTGCAGCCCACTGCTCCTCAAGGGGATGGGTTAACTGCTGAGATTAATTTCTCCAATATGACATAAATGAAGTTCAATTATTATCAATATTGTATAATAACTCAGCTTATTTTTGGTATCAAAATTACTTTGTTGGCAAAAAACGGCAATAACAGAAGATATCTGTAAGGGAGCAAATAGTTATTTTAAGACATTGCAGGTGACATTCATTTCTCTAATGGTAAATGCTGTGCTCTTGTGTTATTCAAAAGGCTGAAGCCATTTCTGGGACATAAATGAATTATACTGAAGTTGCTGCTTAAGTAGAGGCCAGAGTGTGAGTAGAAGCCCATCCACCCTCCCTCTTCACTCAAAAGGAGATGTCATCTCATTCCAGTGTCAGTCCACAGCAAATAATCGGATTTGGTGGTTTTGGGCAGGGGGGGCAACCTGCCCGTAATGCATCAGCAACTGGAAAAGCTCCAGTGTGCTCACCTCACCACCCCCAACTACCGGGGCCATGAGAGCAAGGATTCGAAAGCTCATCTGACACGTGATTCTGCAAACATGCGAAAGTGCTTCCTTAAGTGGAAATCCAGCAAAAAGGAGCTGGGTGAAGGACAGGGATACATGTGTTAACAATGTGCTGCACCTCGTCTCTTCCAGGGCCTGTTGACTGCAGAGAAGCCATCTTTCAACAGCTGATATTGGCACTGATGCTTATCTAATGTGACCTGAATGAGTTGCCATAGCTTGGCCATTTATTCTTTTTTAGAAAAAAAGGTATCTTTGAACAGTTTGCATGGAATGACTTGTTGCTGGAACAGCTTCATGAATCAGAAAGTGAAATGTTGTGCCACATGTATCAGAGCGCCTCGTCGATAATGACTTGCTCAAAAAAAAAAAAAAAAAAAAAAACACCAGCTGAATGTTTCGCTTTTGAACAATCACTGGAGGTTCGGCTTACATTTAATTTCTACCTGCCAATACTACCTCATCTAAAAATGACATAAATGTAACAAATCACTTTATTGTAGCTACAACATAAATGTACTTTTTATAACACAACATGACAATATCACCAGTGGAAAATGCTATTGCATTGTAAGCGCTTCTTGAAAAATCAATCCACCCAATTACTTTTACATATTTATGTTTAACTATGAGTTTTAATTACAATACAACAATGCACGTTTCAATGATGTATCATCAACAAACAGAGATCAATTTTTCAGGCCACCTGCCACTAAAATGATGTTTGTATTGTCAATATGAACAGCAAACATTGATAATAATAATTCAGCATTGGTGTAGAATAACAAAAAAAAAAAAAAAAAATGAATGAGTGGAATAGCACCTTATGCCAAATGTTTAGCAAGGTGGATGACTTGTTTCCTTCCCAAACACCCTGGGCTATAGTGGCTATTTTACGTAAAAAGTATTTAGGGTACAAAAGACGGGCTTTTTTAAAATTATGGACAGAAAAAAAATCCATACTGGATAAATTAAAGGGTTGTTTACTTTAATTTAACATGGGATGTTTTAGAAGTTTAGAATACTGAAATTAAAACGTTAAAAAAGCATTAAAAAAAATTGTGTCACATCACAGCAGGAAGGCTTAAGGGAAGTTATAAGAAGAAGAACCTCTGTTACTTTATCTGAGCTCCCTGAAAACTCTGACTAAATGTCAAGATCACAGAATCCCCCTAGACTTAAAGGGGATGATATCAAAAGGCTTCTTTTGTTGCTGTATGTTCTACTAAATAAGACGTCTTTCTCATCATTGTCTGACTTGTGTTTCTGCTTCGGCCTTTAAGTTCGCCTTTCATGCTGAGGCTATCTTGCATTGCTCCTAAAGTTCAAAGCTCCAGCCATGGCTGTGAGACCCTGCTGTATTAGAACACATGGATGAACTCCAGTGTATTATTAATCCTTTGGTTCTTCACCGACTTATAGAAAAATATACCCCAACTAAGCTGTTATTGTGAAAAAGGAAGTTATCTGAAATTAATGAAAAATCTGCACAGTTTCTACTTGGTTGAAACATACTGCACACCATTACAAAAGCTGCCTTGGACAGCACAGTATCATTAAAGACATATCAGGAAGGACAGGAAAATATGCAAATCAGAGCACTTAGAGCCATCAACATCAAAGCGCCCACAAAGAAGCCAGCCACAAATAGAACAAAAGCATTAGTTGCAATAAGACTTGGCCTCGGGGCTAAGTTAGGGCACAAACGCTTGTTGTTGATTCTTGTGGCGATAAGGCTTGCTTTAGCATCATCACTGCCTATGTACATATACCAGTGGAGTGGATTTAATCGCACTAATTAGAATGCACTCAAGGCAAAATGCAACATCTACTGGAATAATCTGAGAGAAGAGATCTCCAGTCCAATTTATTCTCCTGCTCTAGGTTTCCGGAGGGGAGGGTAGAACAGAAGATCTGTTTTTGGTAAAACGAGTGAGCGGCTGGTGTCTGGTGGTTGGGTGCATGTGTCACTTTGGACTGGTTGCCATTTCGAGGACAAGCTGCAGGGAGGCCACTCATAGGGAGGCGGTATGTTTGTGTGTTTGGGTGTGTGTGATGAAAAGGGAGAAAGCGAAGACACTCTGACAGAGTGAATCAGAGCTTTAGCAACAAAGATATAGAACCAGACATGGGCCGATTACCAGTATCAGGGTTTTAAAAAGTTGTCGTTTCTAAACTGGTGTGTCCTTTTTTTCTACGGAGCACAGAGTAGCTGCAATGCATGCTGCTGCACATGTCTTATAATCTGGCTGAAAGAAGACACTTTCATGTCTTTTCCAAGTTAAGAACAAAGCTGGAAAGAAAGAATCAGCAAGCAGTCGCCAGCACGATGACCACCAAAGCATTTCTGCTTTGGTGATTAATTAATCCTCCTGATATTGGCTTATTACACCTTTGGTAATCTATTTAAAGTATAAGTGGAGTTCATAATTAGGTTTCACAAGTTAAGTTAAACCAAGGTTTTGAAAAAATAATAGTTTCAAAAATCATATTTTTGATCATAGCCATCAATTAAACACCTTTTAGATCCCAGATAATGTGACCATCTTTATGCACATATTTTCACTGTACTGCCCCTCCCCTACATGTTGCTGTTCACTGCCATAGTAGGCTAAAAGAGGGCTGCTCTACTGTTAATTAGCTCACAAAAATTTGGATTAGAATGATTTGGTGGCTTCTATTTTTTTGTTATGGCTGCCAAGGCCAAATTTTTAAAACATGCAACATTTTTATGACTAGGTGACTAAAAACTGGTTATCCTGGCTAATTATCTTGCAAATATCAACTTTGTATATGTTCCACAGATGCAATAATCGGTACAATGCTGTGGTTAATACTGATATGTTGTGAGGTGCACAGTGGTGCAGTTGTTACCACTCAAGAACATCCTTAGTTTGTATCCCAGCCTTAGGTTGTTTATGATTGGATTTTGCACGTTCACCTGTGTTTGTATGGTCTTGTGTTAATTTTTATTTCTCCATAGCATAGTATTGTGAAGCATTGGTATTCTACATGATTATAATACCGTAAGTCTCTGTAGAGATGTACCAATCCAGTTTTTTTCTGTTCTAATCTAATACCAATACCTGGGCAGAGAGTATTGACCCATATCTGATTGAACTGTTGAATCAATTAACCATATACCCTGCCATGTGAGGGAAGGGTTAGGCCTTGAAATAAATATTTCTAATAAAAAGTAACAAATCAACAGATATAAATGTACTTTACATAATTTATTAACAAATGCGTAGCAAAATGAAAGAACAAACAGTTCCATATAAAGCGCACTGGATTGGATCTCTGATACCAAAGCAACGATATCCGATCCAGCTAATTTGCCAATATCAGAGCAGATATTTAATCCAATCTAATTCTCTCATACTGGCCCATGGCTACATAGAGCAGCAGAGAAGACCAAATTGTACCTGTAGGAGGGATCATGCCAGGAGACATGAGTCCAGGCACCGAGTGGGGCATGATGTGGGGGTTCTCAGGCGATGTCACACTTTGGGTCCTCTTCGGAGGTCGTCCAGGTCTGGAGCTGCAGACAGAGAAGAGAAAAGTACAACTTGAGAGAAGCGGAGCGGCTGTGTGGGCAGCGTTGGGGGGAAGCAGCAGAGTGGTGGAAGTGGTTGTGGGGGTTGTTGGGGATGGGGGGGAATGTTAACATTTGCAGCTCACTAGAATGCAATGCCATTCCAAAGAGCTAACATGTACTGTAAATAAATTTCTTTTCAAGGACAGTTGCTTTCTGGAGCTCAACATAATAGACTTCCATAACTAATTAGATTACATGCTGAATTCATTTCCTTTATTGAAGATCAACCACTTTTTGATGCATAATTCATAACCTGCACCTCGTTACCTGTTCCCCCGTATTAATATCCCCACACTATTTGAATTGCCTCGTTTGCATATGCTAAAATCCAGCGCTCGGCCCTCGGCCTGGAAATTACATGTTAACTTCTTATAATTATTGCAGTCAGGCCACTATTGATTTATGAGACTTTTAAAAACCAAATATGTGTAGTTCTGGTAATGAATGATATTTTAAGGTTCTTCAGGAAATTAAAAGGCAATGGCTGCCTTAGGAAATGTTCTGCTTGCTTGATTTAATGCGTGCCTTAGCTGGAAGGTGGTGTGACAGAGTGATTCAGACCTGTTGGACGGTTCTGATGGGGGAGTTTTATTACACCAAACGAGGGGCACAGATCCAGCCGTGATAAATGACTGTGCCACCTCACTGTGGAGAAGAAAAGGCCTTCAAAGCAGATACACCCTTGACTTTCCTCACATCTTACTCATTCACTTATTAATACAGCTTCGAGTTTCAATCAATACCTACTTTGCTGGCTTATAGTTGCAAAGAAAAGCCTACAGGGCACAGGAAAAAAAGAAAAGAAAAAAAAAACAACGGGCATGTGAGGCAACGAGATCCTGTAGAGGCATATTCTTTATGAAGCAGGGGCTGCATGTCTCAGCTGAAGATGAATTACGGTGACTTGACACAGGTGACATATTGGCTTCATACATTATTTCACACAGAAGTCCATTTCAAGCTTTGGCAAGATACAAAGTTCCCTCTTAAATGACTCAAATCTATTTTTAAAACACAATGTGTTCTCTAAAGCATAGTGTAAATACCCAAACTGGACAAACATTGGGACATTTCAGCTACAACACAAAGTGTTTGTGTTTTCATAATCAGGTTTTTTGGCTTTGTTCTTTTACTATTCTTTTACATTGTGCTTTTACCATTCACATCTATTCAATGGCTTTTACACAAAAGCAGACTTTGATGCATACAAATCTGCATTTAATTAATTCCTTAAACATTGCTAAATACACCAAACCTTCAGCAATAAAGAGTTACCAAAATTAAATCATTGCAAAGAGGAGACTAAATTTGGTTCTGTTCTTTTCAGTTGATTCTAAAAGAATTGCAAAGTGGATATCTATGTTTATATATATATATATATATATATATATATATATATATATATATATATATATATATATATATATATATATATATATATATATATATATATATATATATATATATATATATATAAAAAACATAGATATATAGTTTTCATTCTACTATATAAATGTTCCTGGTATTACAAAATAATTAGACTTGTCTGTTTTATCAAATAATAGTTTAAATTAATTTGAAACAAGAAAAAAAATCTGTTTTCTGTTTTTTCTATGCTCTACATGAAGGAATAAAGGTTGGTCTAAGTGGTGAACTTTGATATTAAGTGAAGGAGACTCTATGTTCATTACTGTAGTACTATTAATGTATTCAGAATGAAGTGGAAACACAGAGATGTAAATATAAAAAAGCAATTCAGGTTATCATGACACAACATTTTCTGTGGTTTATTAGAGATGCAAAGGAGTGCGAACAGAAAGTCTAAATGTCTTGCAATGTGTTTTTTATTTATCCTTTCGAACTTGAACCTAGACTGTCTTGCAATATACAGTACTACATTTGGAACTGTTGGTAACTTTTCGGCTGTCTCAAAGTTAAGGAAAGGATCTGTAGACTCTAAAATTATGATAGAGAGACTGTTGTTTTGGTGATACTGGTTCTGCTAAGTTCCCATCAATCGGAAGGAAGAAAAAAATACTTTAAATGCTTTTTGTCTTATTCTTTGTAGTTGTCAAAGAGAAATTGAGATAAGCTACAACTGGCTAGTGGCACTTTTAATTCAATAACAAAAAATGAACACTGGAAATTGACTTCAACTTACTGCCCAGTGTATCTTAGATGCTGGTATATTTTTTTATCAACCTTTCAAGTACATTTCAGAGACTGTCCTTTTTCTTTATCATTCAAACTGTAATTAAAAAACTCATAAAATTTAGATCTACCATTTAAAAATATATACTTTTGCAGGTTGTCCAAGCTGTTTAAAACTAAATGAGCTAATGCAGCTAGCCAACAAGTGCCTTAAACCCAGTGAGTAGAAATCACAACAATTTACAATTTCCCTGTTTAATAATCAATAAGCTAATGAAGCAAAACCTGCTACGTTTTAGTTTTCCACCGCCTCTTATTTTAGCTTTCTTTGGATGTTAGATTTGCAAATGCTAACTTGTATTAAAACTGACAAGTTAGTAAAACTGTTTATAATGTGTAAGGGTAATCTTTTACTGAAAGTGTTTCCTCATTGAAAAAATGTAATTCTTCAGTGCTAACTGGTTTACAATAAAAAAAAGAAAACTAACCAAAAAAAAAAATTATAAAAAATTAAAAAATTGCCCATACAACAAAACATAGCATATACCTCCCCCCGACAATGTTATCTGTTTTTAAATATATCTTAATATCTAATTGGAACGTTTAGGTCAGAGGTATAGTGGAGGACATTCACGAATTTTTGAAAAAATGCACATGCACAACCCTGTACCCACTCCCAAGAGGGAACGCCTATTAAACTTGTGCAAGAGCATGCATGAGCCCTGCTCGCGTGCACTTTGTTTAAAAGTTGCTGTTTGCATCACTCATACAAGCTTGCAAAAGATTTTTAATTTTCCCTTATGTCAGACTCACCACTGATAAGTGAAAATGGGGACAAACACGTAGGACGGCCTTACGTAACCATATCACCAGAATGATTTGCTATTAGGAGGACCAATTTCTTTTGATGATCCAACTGGAAAAAGAACATCCTATACTATACTTTTAAATCCTTTCCATACTTAACTCACTATAGGGTCACAAAACATGTACTATAAACATTGCAAATGTTTACATTTTTGTGACTTATTTCTCCCATGACCATAGCTGGAAACTTGATCACATCTGCTTTGATAACCCCTGTCACAATTCGCACAAACATTTTCTCTAATTTCTATTTCTGGAGCTTCTTGGAGTTGTATTACAAACAAGGAACAGTCTTCCTCTCAGAGTATGCGCAACAGTTAAAACAACTAATGCAGGTAGGCTTTCCAGTCCAACAAAAACGAGCTCCTCTTATCAAGCTTTAAAGTGTTATTTCAGACTGTATCAGCCAGCACAATATATGGGGCTGTTTGTGTTACAGTACATTTCCCTACATTTCCCAAAGGCAGTATCTGAAGACAGACGCAGTGGCTTTAGGAGCAGCCTTAGTGGTTGAATTTATTCAGCCATGTCTTGTGAGGTTTATTTACCTCACTAGTGCTAATAGAGTGCACTCACTCTGTCTGTCTGAAATTGCTGACTCTTTCATATATATTGGCTCTGGAGGTTTTAGGGCTAAAAGCAGACTTTCACCCAACTGTGTCCCTTTGGAGAGGAATCACAAGGGAACGAAAAAAGAATCAAGAGGGAGAACGAGTGACAACTGAGGGAAACAGAGGGGAGGAGAACGGGAGAAAAAGAAACGAGCACTCGTTCAACCTACGAAGGTCTGGAAACATTATCCCGATTCATACAGAAGCACCTCTTTGATCCTATGAGAGGGTGAGATCGCAGACAGTTTTGCTGTCATCACTTTCACTTGTACTCTTGCTGAATTATTTATAAAAGAACTCAATAGAGGGCATAGGAGGGGTAAAAGTCTTTTTCACTCACAATACTAAAGGTAAAAAATACGCTCTCAAATGGACACAAAAAAATGTCACATCAACCTTAGATCATGTCAAAGCTCCATCACAAAGGCCCAGTTACGTACACCTAATGTTTAGATAGACTGCCAGAGAATATGTCCGTGTGTTTAAAGGGGGATAGCATTTCAACCACTCTCTTCAAACAAATAGCACTGGCCGGTCATGAAAGCAATACGGCAACTGAAACGCTTTGAACTGAGGAACCTCCAAGCAGCAGGAAGGGCTCGAAGAAATAATATCACCGTCTCCTTTCCTTACGGCTGACTGGGGGCCTATATTAGAAAAAAAAGCAAACAATTTGTCAAAAAAGGGGTCAGAGAAAAAAATTGTTGGATTTCCTCCTGACTTGTTCTGTTCAATGTTCTTAAAAAACTAAAGAAACAGATAATTTAAAATACTGTCAATCAATTACATTTATTTATTTCTATCTATCTATCTATCTATCTATAGAGAGTTCTTCATAAGTCTCCATATTTAGGTTCCTTTTATTCTATATCTCAATTGACTCTAGCAAAGAGTAACAAAACATCTTTCAATCCATATGTTGATGAGACTGAATAACATTATATCTATCTATGATGATTATATCTATGATGATCACAGTCCTTTACAGTCACATAGTTTAGTGGGTGAACAAGGCTGTTTTCTTTCAGCTAAAAGCAAGTAAAACAAAAGTGATCATGTTTTCCCAAAGAAAAACAATGTTAAAGAAGAGGAATGAATTGAACTGGCACAGTCTAAAACAACTACATTTTACCCATAATTAAACATCCTATTTATCTCTTTAAAAAATAAAGAATTAGGGGGGTTCTAGTGAAAATTTGACAGGGAAAACCTCCAACTTCTAAAATGTCCTGGCCAACAACAGGAAAATGTCAAGATGACACTAATCTTTATATTGATGAAAAGGATTTTTTAAAATCTTGTGATTGGTCTATA